GCCTGTGTTTCGAGACAAGGTTTCTCTGAGTAGCCCTGGCTATCCTGGAACTCACTTTGTAGACCAGGCTGATCTTGAACTCAGAAATCCACCTGCCACTGCCTCCTGAGTGCTGGGATTAAAGGCATGTGCTACCACAGCCTGCACGTTCATTTCTTAAAGAGCCATGTATTAATAAAGGCTTTGTCACCAGGACAGTACTATAGAAGGTGGTGGAACCTTTAAAAGGCAGGGCCCACTGGGAGGTCTTTAGGTCACTGAGGGTGTGACTTGGTAAGGACAGTGCTCCCCTACCCCCACCCCAGGCTTCTCCTCTCCTTCTCCCTTACCCCGAGATCAGGAAGTCTATCTGACTGTCTATACCACCATGATGCTCTGCCTCCACCCAGTCCTGAGAACAGGACCGACAGACTGAACTGGGACCTCCAAACCTGCATTGAAACAAACCTTTTCTTTCTAAGGCCGTTCTCCTAGGCATTTGTTATGGTGATGGAAAGCTGACAACAGACTGTTTCCCCCAGATGCTGGCCTGCTCAGTCTTCCCCTCCCACAACTGTTGCTTAGGTCAATTGTGTGCCTTTGGCTAAGTAAGAGCTTGCCCTGTTCTTCACATGGTGACCTCTGTCCTTTGGGGCTTGGCTAAATGGCTCCTTCCTAAGGGATCAGGATAGCTATCATTTCATATCTATTACTTAATTTTTGAGACAAGGTCTCACTATATAGCTCTGTTGGGCCTTGATCTTACTATGTAGACAAGGCTGGACTGGTACTCACCATGTAGACCAGGCTGGCCTCAAACTCACTGAGATCTGCCTCCCAAGTGCCAAGGTTAAAGCTATGAGCCACCATACCCAGCCTTTTTTTTTTTTTTAAGATTTATTTTACACGTATGAGTGTTTTGCCTGCATGTATGTGCACCACATGTGTGCCTTGTGCCAGAGGTCGGAACAGGGCATTGGCTCCCTGGGATCAGATGTTTGTGAGCCACCATGTAGGTGCCAGGAATTGAACTCAGGTCCTCTGCAAGAACAAGTGCTCTTAAAAAACAAAATCAAACCAAAACAAAAATTCCTTTTAGACTTTAGTGTCAAGAAACAAACAAAAACCACTGAACTGATGTGCATCCCTCCATCCCAGTCCTGTGAATCTACGAATGGGAGGCTAGCTCCCTGTCTTGACAGGCAGCCCGAGCCCAGGGCAGGCCCACCTGGGCACTTGGTTCATAGCACTGTTTGTTCTAGCATTGTTTTCTCTGTTCTATTTTTACCCTATTGTTATTTTGTGTAACTTCAGAAGCTGCTTCCAAACCTTTCTGAGCAGAGTGGGGCATAAAAAGAAAACACCATTCAGGAGAGCCCTGTGGTCTTGGCAGGTTGCTTTGTGTTTGTTTATTTATTGCCTAGTCTAACTTGAGGACTGGACTCCCGGAGTGGAGGGCCACAGCTACCCTTGACCCCCCCTCAGCCCCAGGAGTCTCTCTCCAGGGGAAGAGCAGCTAAGCAGGACTGAGCAACAGGTTGCTGAGGCCAAACCGCCAACGTCCATCTGCCGGCAAGCCTGACTTCCTCCCCCAGAGCACTCCTCAGTTTCCCATCTGGCTGATGGCACAAAGCCTCAGGGCCGAGAGGAAGGAGCTTGTGAAGGGAGAAGGATGGGTGAGCAGATGAATGTTCTTTTTATTCCTTTTTCCTGCATCCTAACTCAGAGGAATGGGCACAGGCGAGGGCTGTAGTCCAGGGTGCTAAGGAAGGACTGCCTGCTGAGGTGTGGATAAGATTGGGAGGTCTCTGAAAAGCTCTTACTGGACGACCCAAAGCCAATCCGGCAAGTTTCTGTCTCTGCTTTGTGCTTCTCCTTGGTCCCCTATCCTCCAGTCTGTCTTCCGATCCGTAACATGGGGGCAACTGGGAAACCAGATTTGAGGTTTGGACAACGCTGAGTCCTCGGGATGTCAAGGCCCTGACACCTTCCATTCTGCTTTCCCGGGGAAGTTGTGAGTCTTGGTGGAGAGAAGAGGAGGTGACTGGGTATGCAGGATGATGGGATCAAAGATGAACACACAGGACCACCTTAGACTGTATCTGAGGCTGTGGGCTCCAGAGGCAAAGGGCTGGATCATTGCCCTGGTCCAGCCTGGCTAAGGTAGGGCAGACGAGGTGAACCTGGGAAGTGAAGGCCTTTGCACTCCCTGGTGGGCGAATGAACAGTTTTCACTGAAAAGCCAGAGTTGCCCGTTTTCCTCAGACTGTGATTTTAAACCCCAGGGGAGTGGGTGTGTGTGTGTGTGCGAGGGGGTGCCAGCCAGGTCTCTGCCAGGTGTGGCCTGCTGGGCACTGTTCTTACCTGGTCGTTTTAGGTCCCCATGTGTAGATCGTTTTGCTAAAAGGCCTAGGTGTGAGCAATGCCTCCAGAGGCTGTTCCTGGTGTGTCCTGGCTCCTCAGTTCACTAGTTCATTCCTTCATGTTAAGCTGCCTCCTCTGGTGTGCTCACACTCCTCAGGTGTACTCACACTCCTCAGGTGTGCTCTGGCCATCAAGATGGCTCAGTGGGTAAGGGTGTTTGCTTCTAAGTTGGCCTGAGTTCAATCCCTGCAACCCACATGGTGGAAGGAGAGAACCAACTCCTGGAAGCTGTCTTCAGACCTCTACAGGTACACTGTGACAATCACTCCTCCCACTTCAGCCCCCAAATAATAAATGTAATTAAATTTTCTAAGTGGATGTGCTATGAATACTTTCCATTCTTAAAGGCTGCAAGACGCTTGAGACCAAATACTAACACTGGTCCTGATGTGTGGCAGTCACACCAACACCCCCCCCCCCCCATCACATTAATAGGACAGGACAGGACAGGACAGTGTGGGTCCACAACAGAAACAGAGCACCTTGGGGGCAGTAGGGAGGGAGGAGGGGTGGGTCTGGGCAGGGCAGAGAGTGGGTCCCATGTTGGCTTGTTATTGGGCCAGAAGCCTTGGGGTCCCCTCAGGTTTTGGGAAGTCTTAGCTGAGAGCTGAATTAAAATGACCATTTCAAGTTGTCTGAGGTAGAAGGAATCCTACAGAATATGAGACCTGAACCAGGCCTGGTGACTCACACTTGCATTCTGGAGGCTAAGACATGAGGACAGTATCAGAAATCAAGGTCAGCTTGAGAAGGGAAGGGGGGTGGGGAGAGAAGTGGCTTGCTGTGTAGGACCCCCAGGTTTCTCAGGTACAATTCAGAGACCAAGGCGGGATGGTAAAAGAAGGGCCTTCCACCAACGGTAGTCCACACTCAAGGGATGCTGTGGCTTAGTACATACCGGCTCAGTGCACCATCACTGCAGAGCATCCGAGATAAAAACCAACCAGCCATGTGAGTCAGGAAGCAGAGGGCAGTCAGAGTGCTGGCACTCTCCTATCTGCATCTCCTGGGTCTGTGGAACCCAGCAGAGTGCAAGTCCCTGTAAGCCCTGGTAGGAAGGCTCCTGCCGCATTCAAATCAGATGCAGCCATGGCTGCTGGCTTCTCCTGGATCGCCAAGAACCCTAGGCCAGTCTGGGGTGGGCAGAGGGCCTGGGAAGGAAGGGCATCTCTTGTTCCATTACCCCAATAGTTCCTTCTTACCCAAATCACTCAAGACAGGCTTTAAGTCAGAGTGGCCCTAATACTCTCAGAGGGCTCCCCTGTGTGCCCCACCCTACTCTTAACTCCTCATTAAACATGTCTCTCAGTGGCCTTAATGAGCCTGTCTGGGGACAGAGAGACATGGGTGACACTCTAATTACAACTTGAATTGCTTCCCAGGGAGAGGATGAATAGGAAGCCCACATTTCTTCGTAGATGCTTAGAGGACTTAGAACTCAGCCTAAGAATTCCTTAAATTTCCAGAGTCAAGCCGGGACCCCAGTCCAGGCCATGCTCGCTCTCCTTAGAGCCACCCCAGCCTGTTAAAAGAGTGTGGGTGTGAGAGAGGCGGGGTCTGAGATAGGAGCCAGAACTGTGGGTGGCGGGGTCACCTGGTTCCCACACCCAGGGCAGACGCACCCTGACCTCGTTTCCAGAGAGGCGCCCAGGGGAGGTGAAAAGGGGCAGAGGTTGTCAATTAATGATCTCTGATTCCATCGCCACACCGTCATTCAGCTTCGGCACGGCTTTGGTGGCTCCAAGTGCTGTACGATGGCCCCGGTAGCCTGAGTGGCTCTTTATCCAGCACCATTGGAATATGGCGATCCTGACTGAGCACTGAGGCTGAGCCCAAAGCATGCCATCTGGAAGTCCATTCCCCATGACAAATGGCAGAAAAAGGAGGCCCACTGAACTTTGCTCTCTGCAGTCCTGGGGGTGGCAGCATCCTGAACGATTCCTGGGGCCTGAGGACAGAGCCGCCCCATCCCAGGAACACTCCAGTAAACCCTGTGCCACAGGCTCCACCCCACCCACCCTGCAAGAGCAGCAGCACTCCCACTTTACAGAGAGGGCCAAGGAACAGAAAGGCCCAGTGACCAAGGGGCCCCCAACTGGTAGGTAGCAGTGGGGACAGCAGAGTCCCAGAGCATGCAGGGCCTGCTCTACCTGAGAGCCACATGAGGCTTTGTCTCTCCAAGAGGCCTGAAGGTGGGGTGGCCCCAAGCAGGGAAAGAGAAGCCACCTTGAGACTCATGAGGCTAGGAGCCCCTGGTTGACAGTAATGGTTCATCTTAATGGTCAACTAGAGGAGATCTACAATCACCTGGGAGAAGGGCCTCTGGGCATGTATGTGTGCGAGTGGGGGAGATCTTGACTGGGTTACTTGAGGTAGGAAGACCCACCCACTATGGGTGGCACCATCCCCTGGGTGGGGCTCCTAGGCTGTATAAAAAGGAGAGAAAGTGAGCCGAGCACCAGCATCCACTGCCCTTTCTTCTATGGACTGGGTGTGGCCAGCTGCTTCAAGTTCCCGCTTTGGTCAGAACCGAGACCCTGACCAGTTCCCCGCATCCTGAAATAAGACCCCAGGAAGGAGAGACAAGACACCAGGGGTGCTAGGAGGAAATTTTAATGTTTTCTTACTGCTTTATCAATGTCATGGAAAAAATACAAAGTTTAGAGTCTAGAACTGACCAGGTAGATTGGGAGGGGTGTGTGTGCTGCAGGCCAGAGGCATGGTTCTGCGGCTCTGTCAATGCCTACCTACGTAGGAGCACCAGTCTGGAGCCCAGTGAGTGTTTCGGGGTCAGGATCTGGGAGGACTCTGGAAGCAAGAGCAGCCCATGGCAGGGCACCAGCCTCATCTGGCCAGAATCCTTCTGTAATTTAGCTTGCTCTCTCTTCAGATTCCTACTGGCTATACTAGACCAGGAGGTGGGCCAGGATGCTCCTAGCACAGAAAAGTAATGAGTTACCATTCCTGGGGCTCAGGCCCCTGCTTCTATTCCTGTTCTGGGCAGAGTCACAGGAGCCGAGCACAAACAGATTGCTGACCAACAGCCAGGAGGGTGGCGCATGCCTGTAACCTCAGCTCCTAGGCTAAGTGAGGCTTTGCTGTGAGTCTGAGGCCAGCTTGGGCTACAGAGTGAGACTATGTCTCAGAAAGCAAACAAACAAAACACCACTTTCGTTAACCTGGAATTCAAACTGAATATGGTCTTGTTAAGCCTGGCCCATAGCCCCCCTGGTCTCCGCAGTTGGGAGAGGCTGAGAATGGAAGGAGACCCTGTCCCCCCCACACAGAGTAGGGCAGAGGGAGGGAACCACCCAGTCAAAACACAGCTCACACTTCGGGGAACAATGCATTATTTAACAATCACATTCCAGAACTTTCCTATATAGTCCTTATTCAGCTGTTAACAGCTATGGAGGTGGGGTTCATGGGCAAACACTGGTGGCGGCTGCCCCCCTGGACAGTTCAACCTGGACAGGGTCTGTAGTACCCAGACTTGAGTAAGCTAACAGGCACTGTGCCACCAAGACAATCTCGCTAACAGGATTATACTCTCCTGGGAGGGGATTTTGATACCGCACTATTCAGGTTCAAACATAATAACAACAAACAAACAAATACACCCGTAGGGCAGAGCTAGCCCTTCCTGTTCCTGTGTCACTGGGGAAGGGCCCCTTCTTGAAAACCCAAGAAGCTGGGGGCTGGGGGAGTTCCTTCTGCCCCCCACCCTGTCCTGGCCCCTGGGAAGGACTAGGTTTAGTGTATTGGTTGAGGCTGTCCCCTGCCCCAGCTGAACCCAAAGAGCACCAGGCTTCCAGTGAGGAGCCAGGGGTGAAGGAAAGAAGAGCCTGGACATATGACCACCCCGTCTCCTGCTGCATATACCTTCCTGGTAGGCACCAGACATCAGGTGAAAAAAGGGAGCTAAGTGTCCATGACCTTGGAGAGAAGGCCACACTTGGCTGCCCTGCCATTGCTGCAGAAACACAAACTAACATCTGGCATCCATCCGAGGCCAGGCTGGAAGCAAGGGACCCAGAGAGGGGAATGGATTCCTGCTGGGACACCACTGTCCCAGGCTGCTGCAGTAAAGGAAGGTCAGGTCCGAGTCCGGCCATCAGTACCCATGCTACCTCCCTGGCACCCCAATCCCAGAGGTCCAGGGTCTGTCTACTCCAGTATGAGGCTCTTAGCTGCACCTACATAGGAAGGTCAAAGGTCATAGTGAAGGCAGCGGCAGCAGCAGGGAAAAGATGCAACCCAGAGTTGCGGAAGTTACTGTCAACTTTCTGTCCAGCTCAAACTCGGATCTCATCTTCCTCTTCCTCATCCATGAAGGAGAATTCCTTGTCTGGCTGCCTTGGAGCAGCAGCCCGGGCTCTGTCTGGGCCTCGGAAAGCTGGGCTGCGCTCCTCCAGGACGCCTGAGGTGCAGCTGGACAGGGAACTGCTGTCCCGAGTGGTGTGGCTCCCCACGCTGCGTGCTGAGCTGGGGCTGGGGGCTGCTGCCGCCCACCCGTCATCCTCCAGAGCATGTGGGGGCAGCATGGAGGCCTGGTCCGAGCTGGCCTTGCTTTCCTGTCTTCCTATAGGAGGAGCTACCTCCAGCAAAGGGGGAGCCTGGACCATGCTGCTGGGACCTTCTTTGTCACGGTATCCGCCACCCTCTTCCTCCTCTGGGTCCCACTCATCCTTGTCCATGATGCTGAGGACGTCACCCAGCATGGAGGGCCCCAGGTCGATGTGGAAGGACATAATGGACTCAGCATGTTTCAGTCCATAACTGGCCTTGGGCACAATGGGCAGATCTGTCAAGTCCCCAAAGGCCTGCTCGTCAAGGAGTGGGTCAGGAGAGTGGGGGCCTGTGGCCCCATTCCGAGGGGGACCCATCTCCCCTGAGCCTGTCTCCTGGCCACCATCTCCAGCATCTATCTTCTTCACAGGGCTGGAAGACAGGCTCTTGGGTAGCTTGCTGGAGGCCTTCTCAGTGGCTTCCTTCTCATTGAGCTGAGGAAGGGACATGGCATTCTTGACAAACAGTGCTGAGTCCCGAAGGGAGCCCAGCATGTCCCTCTGCTCCCGGTCCCCTCTGGTCACGGACTGTGACCGTTTACTGCCCCGGAACTTGCGGGACAGGAGGCTGCGTTTGGAAGATGAGGAGGAGGCCTGCTCATCCAGGGACTCACCGTCAGCCTCACCCGCCTTGCTGGTGAGGAAGGAGGTATCCCCAAAGGCATCTCCAGCCCGGCCCACATGCATGGTGTGGCGGAAGTCACCCAGCGGGGCACTGATCATTTCTGCTGTGAGGTCCACACGAGAGCGGCGCTTGGAGTGCACAGAACTGGACACCAGCTGCTTGAGGATGGGCATCGTGCTGGCTGGGAGGGGAGGCGGGCACTCCCAAGGTAACAGGCAGGTGTGGGGTCAGATCTGAAGTCCAGCAAGCGCCAAGGGTAGGCAGGTAATCAGAGGGCTGTAGGCAGAGAACAGGAGCCAAGTGGTTAATACAGACTAGCCTCACAATGTCCACCCACCGAAGGACCATCATCCCATCACCCCTGACTTCCCATCAAAAATACTGGAGAACTGCCAGCAGTGAACTTCCTAACCCCGCCATTCCTTCACCCATGCCTCCTAACATGGAAGAGTATTTATAATTGGGCTAGAGTTTGGGACCGGAGACATATGTTCTCTGACACCTGAAAGGGAAATAATCTCCCCAAATTTCGCACCTCCCGCCCCCCACCCCTGCCTAAGCTGGAACACTGTTTGAACAAACGGGCTTAAACGCAGTTACAGTCACAAAGGGACTGAAGCAGGTAGGTTCCAGACAGCTGCTCTGCAGGCAAGAACTTCCCGCTGTCTAACCTGGATCCCTGTAGAGCTGGTGGACACCTCAGCCTGAGTCACAGAGAACGGAATGGCCAGCTGGCCAGGCCCAAATGCTGCCTGTCATTTCCACACATGCGGGCGGCTGGCCGGCCTGGCTCTCTTTCTGAATCAGAATTGGGGTGGGGATGCAGGAACCAACAGAACCGGCTCCCTGGCCTTCCAGCTCTCATGGGGTGTCACACGCGTGATGATTCCCGCCTGTGACATCACTGTGAGGCCCCAAGCTCTTCCAGAGACTCGCTCTATCCCCCATCCCTTGGGAAGATGAAGCTGGGGGAAACTCCCTCCTGGTTTATTGCTGGGGCCAGAGGGAGATGGGAGTTTAGATGACTTTCTCTTGGGATGTGCAGGACCCTGGGTGACTAACTAGAACCCCAGAGGATAGCACAGGGAGATCTCAGGGTACAGCCTAAGGCTAGAAAATGCAGTGTCAAGATCTCAAGTCAGGCCCTTTCTCCCCAGCAGAGCCGGGCAGGATGGCGAGAGATGGAGCTGGGTTCCCCAGATGTCTGTCCTCACCCCATCCTGACGACAGCTAGACAGCTAAGTCTTACCAGAGCCCACCTGTTCCACTGCAGGGCTCAGTGAGGCCTGGCAGGCTCCGGCTGCTTCCGCTGCCCCATGCCAGGCCACCCAGGCCACCTGTCCCTACTGTTGCTTAACTGATCTTCCTGCCTGCCCCACTCCTCTCTCTTACTCTCACAGTGACAGTCCCCTCCCTGACATCACTGCCACCCACCCTTCCCTTGCCCTCTCATTCCACTCTTGCCCTTGATACGAGGTGTCCTCTTCCAACACCCCACCATCCAGTGCCACCAACGACCTCACGGGAGGACAATGCCGCCCCAGGACAGTCTCAACTGCCAGTGCTCGTCCTCCGGGCCACCTGCCTCACACAGCATTTTGCATGTCCCGTCTCCTGAGGCACCTGTTACGTCATTCTGTCCCTGACAGCTGGACTCTAACCTTCCTGCCAGGTTACGGACTTCCAGAGGGTTCTACAGGTCTCTGTCCAGCACTGCTGAGTCACACAGTCGGACTTCAAACATTTAAAGTGTGGCCACCAATCACCCCAACCTGATGCAGTTCCTCAGTATCTCTCCCCTCTTGCCTTCATGTCAGCCCCTTTCAGCCCACAGCCACATCCCGGGGCTCACTATGCCCTCTGCACCTCCCCCTACATTCTATCGCTCCATGCCAAACAACCAGTCTAATGGCTACCCCCACCGAGAGCAACACCCAAGCAATCACACTGCAGGTCTCACGGCAAACACACACCAAGGGGAGCCAGGCACACGGGCAGATAGGTCTGCTATACAGGTGACCTGGGCCAGCTTGGAGTCTGGGAGAACCCTGAGCCAAAATTTGAGGAAAACTCTCTTTCGCCTCACAAAAAAGGGCTGGAGAAACGGCTCCGTGGGTCAAATGCTTGCCACTCGAGCGTGAGGACCTGAGTTTGGATCCTCAGAACCCATGTAAAGCTAGATGTCTCTGCATCCTAGCACCTACAGAGAGATGGGAGGCAGAGAAGCCGGACACTTGGAGGCTCGCTAGCCTGGCCAACACAGTGGTCACCAAGAGACCCTGTCTCAGACAAGGTGGGAGGTTCCTTTATCCTCCACACATGGACTGTGGTGTGATGTGTGTGTTACACCTATTTTCTTTCTAAGTGTGTGGGGTGTATGTCTGTCTGTCTGTTTACTACATGCATGTGGTGCCCATGGAGGTCAGAAGAGGGAGTTGTATCCCCTGCAACTGGAGTTACAGCTGTGAGCCACCATGTGGGTACTGGGAATCAAACCTGAGTCCTCCGAAGAGCAGCTAGTGCTCTTAACCTCTGAGCTGTCTCTCCAGCTCCCCACGCCATTAGAAAGAAAAGGAAAAGGGGGGAGGGGGAAAAAAAGGGAGGTATGGTCCCTGTCATTAAAATGTGATCCTGGCGACCCCCCTGGTTTCTCTGCTGCCAGGTGAACAGAAGGTTCCTCACCCAGCATGCTAGACTCCCACACTGCTGGAAGGGACATCCAGGCTCGTCCATCTTTCGGATGAGAAAGCAGGGTCACTGAGGTGGTAACTCAGCCTCAGCCGGGTTCACACCCCAGGGAGCAGTGCCAACCCAGGGCGGGCACCTGCTGAGGCTTCCTCCTGATTCTGGGTCCTTTATCAGAGCTCTGCTCGCTGCCCACCACCATGGAGTGAGTGCCTTCCCCACCACTTGCCCAGGAGGTCCAGAGAAGAGAGACTTCTGCCATCTAAAAACAGTCGTATTATTCTAGGGTGGCCTGAGGATGCTTGAGGACAGTCAATCTTTTTTTTTTTTTTTAAATTGGGGATGGTGTTGGCTAAGGGCATTCACAGCACCCCTGGTCTCTGCTGTTAAGATACCAGCAGCATCCACCCCCCAACCATGGTATCTGAAATGGTCAGGACACCCACTTCCTAATTCTCCAGGAGGAAAAAAGGAAAACAGGAAAGAGGCAGGCGGGGCACCCAAGATCACAGTGATTTGTGAAAAGGCTTCACTGTAAGTCCAGGAATCCCCCTCAAGCTTGGCCAAACTGCAGCTTCCCATCTGAAGAGCTCTTTAGCAAGAAAATATAGGGGAACTGCAGGCTCGGCAGCCCAGGATTCTCCAGAGATGCCCCCACAGCCACCCCGCGGGACCAAGTATCCAGACCATAACAGAGGGAAGGGGAAGCCTGCATCAGCTCATTCGTCTCCTTCCCCAACACTACTTTGCCAGTAGGGCTATAGAAAAGAGAGAGTGGGGACACTTAGTGAAAATCAGTGTGACACTCCACATTCATGCGTGTCATCCTGGGCCAGACCTAGTGCCCCGTCTCTGCCTCCTGAAAAACAATGACAGGTCTTCACAACGCTATCTGCTTCCAGTGATCTTGCTCCAGAGACCGGGTACAGGCTGTGTGGCTTGGGATAAACCATTTTCAGTATCTAGCAAGAGTGTTTAGAGTCCTCAATTCTCCCTCCACTCCAGTTGTCCGGGTGAGACGAGGCCCTGTCCTCTGGGTCTCAGTTTGAGCACTGTGACACAGAGCACGCAGCACTCTTTAAGGTCAATGAAAACTCAGTCAATACACTGTCTGAAGTGTTGGCTTCAAGGGTCCAAGCAGCAGTGCGCCACCCAAGCTTCTAACAGACAAGGGTTTGGAACTGAGGAGGTGGTCAGGGACATTAGGGGGAAGCATAGGGAAGGGCCTGCCTGGGGCTGGCCCTGGAGGCCTCCATCTCACTTCTGAAAGGGATTAGACCAGAGGGGCTGTGGCTTTGGGAGGAGTGTTGCTAAACACCGTGACTCAGCTCTGGGGACGTGGCTAAAACAGGCTGCCCCATGAGACCAGGTGGACACCCCATCCCACCCAGAGTCCACATCCCACTTTCCTGGGTAGACCATGGAAACTAGCCAGCAGCTTGCAATGCTCCCTAGTCCTCTTGAGCCTTGGAAGGCAAAGCTTTCTGGAACCAGCACTTTCTCCCAGGACACCATGTATAAGCCCGTCCACCAACCCCACACACAGCTCATCCAGTATCTGGGAACACAACACAGTCCTTGCCTGGACCTGTCACCACCCTCCCTGGCAGGATGAACGGTGAAAAACACCCTCCTGGACTGGCCAGCAGACTGACAAGCAGTTCAGGCAGCACCAATGTATTCCACTCTAAATGCCCAGGTAGTGGCCTGTCCCTGGCATTCCAGCCCTAAGCAGGAGCCAGAGCTACACTGCTCCCGAGACAGCCAGGCAGACCGGCCTCCCCCTCTGCAGCTGACCGGAGGCTCACCCCTGTCAGTATACAGAATTACACATGCTTCAGTGCCCACCACCGCCAAGAGCAGCCACGCCCTGTCAGTCCTTTCCTGGTTCTCCGTCTGTTCTCCATCTGAGACCAGCTCCAGGCAATGTGGCCAGATAGAAAAGGACACTAAGCATGGTAACTTTAGCCCCTAGCTCGGATGGATTGGCTGTAAGAGGTTTCATTTACCATTCATTCATCTGCTCACTCATTCACTTACTGTGTTATTGCAGACCCCCACAGTACTCACATTCAGCCGCCCCTCTGCACTTCCAAGGGCTCCTTCTTGTGGTGGTATTGTGTTCCCCAAAATATTGTGCACCCTAATAAACTTATCTGGGGTCAGAGACAGAACAGACACTAGATACAGAGGCTAGAAAATGGTGGCACTCACACCTTTAATCCTAGCATTTCAGAGGTAGAAATCCCTCTGGATCTCTGTGAGTTCAAGGCCACATTGGAAACAGCCAAGCATGGTGACACACGCCTTTAATCCCAGAAATCGAGCCTTTAATCCCAGGGAGTGATGGTAGAAAGGAAAGATATATAAGGCGTGAAGACCAGAAACAAGCTTTTAGCTGGTTAAGCTTCAGGCTTTCGAGCAGCAGTTCAGCTGAGAGCCATTTGGATGAGGACTCAGAAGCTTCCAGTCTGAGGAAACAAGATCAGCTGAGAAGTTGGCCAGGTGAGGTTAGCTGTGGCTTGTTCTGTCTCTCTGACCATCCAGCATTTCACCCCAGTAACTGGCCCTGGGTTTGATTTTATTAATAA